CAGCCAGTTTATCTTTGATAAACCACAATGCCTACCATCACCGTGCCTACCACCATCATCATCATCATCAACCACCAACTAACCACCAATAAAAAATCACTTGATCACGCAGTTGTAAAGAAAAAAAAAAAAAAAAAAAAAAAAAATTGGTTTCATTTGTTGCTTCATGTCTGAGCTTCTTTTTGAATTGATGACTTTACACAATGAAAACAAAATGTAGTCATCTTAGAACGGAAGTTGGGTTAACTTCGAAAAAAAAAAAAACAAAAGGAATATTATTGGGTATCGATCGGCACACCACCGTCTCTCGATCTCTCCCACAGGATCAGACCACAATGAAGGACCGGGCTTCTCTGGGCCCCTGTTTCTTGTTCCCAGGCGGTGAGCGCCCCACACAAATGGGAGGTTTTCACTTACCTGACGCCAACCTTCTGCGACCACTGCGGCTCGATGCTTCATGGTATCTCGCATCAGGGACTCAAGTGTTCAGGTAGTTAACAAAAAATAATGCAAAAAAAAACAAAAAAACAAACAACGAGACAAATTCTCATATTTATATAGTTATTTATTATCCTCCCCCTGCCCCCTCTCCCCCCACCGACTATCAATTTAACGGATTTTTTCTATCATTCAATCGATCGACGAAAAATCCTCAAATTTTTTTTTTCTATTTTTTTTTTTTTTCAACATTGCTGCTGCTGCTGCTGCTATTTTGCTGCTGCTGCTGCTGCTACTCCGTTCTATAGTATAGTTATTATTTTTTTTAAATAGAAAAAAATTATTTAGATTATAAAAACATGGTGGGGGAGGGAGGGAGAATGTGAGGCTGATTCGTTCGACATGAAAATCATCGTTTATCTCGGATTTTTGGGATGGCCCCTGATATTTTGCTAGGAATATTATATTCGCAATTTGTTTATTTCGATTTCTTTTATTTTTGTTTTTTATTTTTAATATTTAACACAGATTTAAATTTATTTTGATTTTACAATTTTATTATTTGATCCCACCCTTGTGCACGTTTCCTTGACTAAACTTTGACAATGTTTATACCATTGGGTTGTTTGATAATTCGTGTAGAGTTTAGAAAATATAATATTGTATAAATCAACGCTATCACACCTAGTCTTATAATAATGAATTAAACTCGTGATAAGAAATTAGGATCGGAAATAATAAGGAAATTAGGATAAAACAATAAGCCTGACTTGTAGTTGACTTTGTTCAAATCAAACTTAAAACTACACGAGTCAGATTCGTGGTTCGGTTTTTATCAACATTTTCTTTCTTTAGTTAAATGTAAAAACTATTTTATTATTAATATTATTATGGTTCAATTGCAATCGAAAGTTAGGGGGTGAAAAAAGGGGTTAATTTTTCACGAAACTAAAAAATATTTATAAATTAGTACAAATTTTTATTGATCAACTGTATATAATAAAAATAATCTTTTATATATTTTGTATAATTTATAAATAATTTCATTTGTAATATGAGAATATAATCATTACAAATTTGATAACTATATATGAACAAGTTTAGGGGTCGTTCAAAAAATACGTAATTTATAAGCAAGTTTTTTGAGTTTCAATAGAAAAACCATAAACTTCATTTTAACGTTAAAAAAAAAACTACACACGTAGGATTATAAAATTTCTTTCGTAAATCAACGTGTATGTGAATCAGATTCTAAAATGACACAAATATACAGCATGCGTTTAAATATACATGCTAGTAATACAATGATCATTCTAAAGTTTAAAACATTATTGTTATAAACAAAACCATGACATGTAACATCGAACGATATAGGTCCTGCTAAATGAATGAACTATTCCTTTCCATAGTGCTACGTGCACTTTCAAACAATTCCCAAACGTTCTGTGTATATGTGTGTATGAGTGTGTGTGTGTGTGTTACGCTTATTAGCGAGTTTCACGTTATACGCGAAAAGTATAGGAGGAAGTCAAAGAAATTCATCATTTAGAAGATTCAACACAACAAACACACAAATGGCACGTAAATCTCATGAAGATTTTGTTCCTCGATTATCCTTTTGTATCGTTTATTACGTAGTAAGTATTCTATTCTTTAATTTCATATACACAATTCTCAAGGTTACGATTTTTTCCATAAAACACAAGAAAAAAAAATCAGTTCTCAATTTTGTTTGTTTTATTTATTTAGAAAAAAAAAAAGATAATACACATCTACAAACAGAACATCCAAATTTTGGTCTAGTATTATGTTATCTATATATATATTGTCCAAATAGTATGCTAGTAAGATTTGTTTTAAATCATGTTACTAGTGTTTGTGCATAAGTATGATATATATATATATCAACATGGTAGTATTTGTGCCTAAGTATTATATCTCTCAATATTTAAAATAGATCGTTACAATATATTTCTTTGTCTTCCCATTGTATAGTTGTTTGTTCCATTGTTTATTCAAAATCGATTCTTTATCAATTTCTCACTTATTTTCTTCTGTTTGTTTGTCTGTCTGTCTGTCTGTCTCTCTCTCTCTCTCTTTCTCTGTATTTTCCCCATCAGTTTTTCTCTTTTTCCTTTTTCTTATTACAAACATGTAGCTGCATGATTATGTTTTACAAATTTTGAATTATCCGAATTATTCGCATGAAAATCACCTATTATGATGGAATGTGTTTATAAATTGGTTTCTTTGACACTCTCTCGTGTAAATTGTGAAAGGCGATTAGTATTATAAATTGTGTAGAAATATATAAGGTGATTTACGAATCAAGTAATCAATTACAAATTACTATTTGTTTCTTTTTCTTTTTTTATTAACAGTCGAATAGAATTTTTGTATTGGACGATTTACAAGGAGGGTGGTGGGTTTTAACCTAGTTTTTAATACGTAGAGAAAATATTTGTTTTACATATTTTGTTTTAAGATGAATCGTCTAGCGAAAAATCTGACAAAATTTTTCCTTACAAGAAGGAAAATTGGCTGCGCCGCAGCCATTATGATTTTTTAAAATTTATATATAATACAATATTGTTTTGTATATAAATATACGTGAAATAAGATTCGATTTTTCTATTTAAAAAAGATGTATTTATTTATCCTCAAAATAAAATTTCTATATCATAAATAATTAAATCTTGTAATATTGTAGTCTACTTTAAATTACAGTTGAATGTAATACATAATTGAATGAATACAGCCAGTGAAAACAAGATTGAGTACCCTTGTTCTAGTTCCTCAGGGGTGGCGTTCAATATTTTTTGTTGTTCCTTGTTTATCGATTATTATTTATTCTTCCGAATATATCAAAACAGATTTTCGACTTCATAATCAGCTGTTCTTCGTTAGTTTGAAAAAGGGGGTTTAGTTTGAAAAGGGTCTTTGAAGTTATCTATTCAACGAGAATAATTCTTTAACGATATTTTTTGTTATATTTTTATAAACAAGTCATGGTTTTACTACACACATGCACGATTACGTTGATTTTTATATAATTAAGTACAACAAAAATTGTTAACTTTTATCTTAAAGTATTCAATAAATTGTAGTAGTCTCGATTTATTATTTTAAACGCACCCTATAATACAAAGAATTGAAAATTTGTACGTAAGCAGCACCGAGTTATCCCCTTTCTCAAAAATTGTAATGTACTTGAAAATAATACAAATATATAGGATTCGTGACAAAAGTTGAATTGACTGAACTGACTCAACCAAGATTCGAACCAGGATCTTACACTTTTCGGATGATTGCTCTTATCAATTGAGTTATTCAAAACCTTTGATCAACTTTCTCACGAATACCTATTTTTATTTGGTACGGAGATGTTCAATTCCACACTTGACTATTCTGCAATAATATTTGAATCAGAATGTTTTTCCTTTTAAAAACAAATACTTCACAAATTGTTGATCCCACGACAATTTAGTTTCTCAAATCGCTACTCACGTCGTTAAGGTCACCATTTCCTTTTTGTATTTTAATATTTTCTCATGTTGTTTGACAATTTCCAAACGTGTATACCAAGCTATTCCTTTGAAACCGACTGAACTTACAAATTTATAATATTCGTGAAAAAATTGAACTGTTTGATTTTTCGTTTTCCGAACACTTATCCACTTATTCGTTGATTTATACAGACCATTTGATCAATCAACTTCCTCACGAATACCTATTTTATTTGGCATGTAGGTGCTCGATTTTCAAACAAATTTAGATACTTATTTTTCTTCTTGTGCATGCTAATAATTATCGTAGAGACTTATAGGCATTTTATAAGCACACTGATGTGATAGCATTTTTCTACTAGCGACATTGTAATTTTTATATATATATACATATCAATTTTGCATATATGTATTTACGTGTTATCACCGAATTGTCAGTCGCAATTAGACTTCAAACATATTTATATTTACGTATACGTAGAAATATATATATATACAAAAAAATATTTTTCATTTATTATATAAATTTTATTCTTTCCATTTGCACTTTATGTGTAACGGCATCATAATATATTCATGCACAAGGACGATCGAAGCATACGCGTGGAGAAAAGTAAGACAAGGAAATTACGTTTTACAGGAAATAATCTCGGAAGTATTCACAAACTCGTTTGTTAAATATATTCCTTTGAATTATTTATTAAATACGTCGTATTTTTTTTATTATCGTATATATCGCGTTGTAACATTTATTTTCTTTTTTTTTTACGCTGCAATTTTTTTACAACATATTTCGAGAATACGTTTTATAAAATATCAAAGATAACTTAAAAAAAAACAAAATTATTAAATGCAATTGAAAAGTATCAGATTGGTGATTATAATTGTGTCAAATAAATAAGAAAAAAATAATATATACTTACGCGTTTATTAATTATTTTATTAAAATAATGAAGTATTTAATTTATACAAAAGTGGCAATCATGGCTATGGATCTTGTAGCTATGACAAATCAAATAGTTCCAATTGATAATCCATAATGATCTGATGACTTAGCATGCGACATGAACGTACACAAGAGATGCGAAGAGAGCGTACCAAATCTTTGCGGATGCGATCACACCGAAAGACGTGGTCGTATACATCTTCTCATCACCGTTTCCGGTAGCAAGATGACCGTCGAAGGTATGTATAATATTATTAGATTGGTGCATATGAAATTGTCGGATTTACTTTACATGAAAACGTTTATCTTTCTGTTTTCGTTATTTTTTGTTTTTGTTTTTGGCACAAATTCGTTTGTATTCGTACTGTTCAATTGTCAGAGTCACATTTCAACAAAGCAGATTTGGTACTTACGTATTAACGCCACCGCAGCAAAAATTCCGCTAATGCGCCAATAAAAAGCAATCTTATTGTTCTCATACAACAAGCTTGTTGTTTGCACACAGCAACTGTCAGGGTTGCGTCAGGGTTTCGTCATAGTTTCGTCAGGGTTATTTTTCAACGAAATCCGACTGATTACTTTTTATAAATAAAATGTTTTGAATATTGAAAGTGTTTCGATTTTAAATATTAAATTTACGACTTAGATTGGCGCATTAGCGGAATTTTGCTGCGCTAGCGTTAATACGTAAGTACTGCAGATTTTCTCAAAAATGTGTACGATTGTTACATTTTTTTTTAAATTTAATTAAACATAAAATGGAGACAGTCTAAAAAAGTCCATATTAAAGTTTATCGATTCTAAAGATCAGAATTTTTTTAATGCTAGCATTTATACATTAAAATCTTGTTGGAAAAATTGTGTTGAAGCATATAAAGCTTATTTTGATTAAATAAACAGGTTTTGAAACAAAAGATATGTAATTTTATATATTTACTCAAAAATCCGACATTTCGTATGCACCAACTTAATAAATATTTTTATAATGCTAATACAGTGAAATCCTTGTTATCCGAATGTATTTCGCGTGTTTCATAATACGGTATACAACGAATCACATAAAACATGATTTATAAGTGTGATTATAAAATGATGTAATTCTGACGCAACAAACCAGCAGATGCAACATTATTTTTGGCAGGGTGAAAAATCTTCGCACTTTATCTTTAGGTTAGTTGCAGTAGCGTATCAAGTCAAGTGGATATCCTAGCGAATACAATTCCGAGGCCCTCAAACTTAAATTAGAAACAAAAAGAACAAGTTTTTAAAGAATTTCCATTAATTTATCAACACAACAGAAAAGTAATAAACAAATAAAAAATATGTCATCTTTTAAACGCACACAAGTGTTTGTCCAGATTTGATTGATATAGGTGTTTTTGTATTCTCCCTGTTATGGGTTTGATTTATTTTTCTATGAACAATCTCGCACACCTATTCAATGCTACTAAAACGGGGTCGTATTTTTGTACCACCTCTCTAGAATCAACAGCACTCGATTTTTTTTTTTCAAACGGTTCATCCATTCATTTTATTAAACGTGCCAATATTGCGTGATTTTAACGATTCTACTCAAAACCAGTAATCCAACGTAAATTTTGATTTAATTAACCCTTCATCCTTTAACAACGAGCGAAACATCTCAAATTAATTCGGATAATTGAGATTTAACTGTAATCGTAATCATAATTTTTGATAATATTTCGTATATATTGTTGCAGTAAAGGAAGGAAGAAATCTCATTCCAATGGATCCTAATGGTCTTTCGGATCCTTACGTCAAATTGAAATTGATTCCTGATTCGGATACCGTGAAGAAGAAAACGAAAACTATCAAGTCATCATTAAATCCTGAATGGAATGAGACGATCATATTGTGAGTTGTTTTATTTCAAAGAAAGTGATTATAATATAATATAGACACACACACACACACACATATATGCGTCCAATGAAAACTAAATGCGATTATCTGTTTTCAGTGATCTCAAACCGGAAGATAAAGATAGACGATTGTTAATCGAAGTTTGGGATTGGGATCGAACTTCGCGAAATGATTTTATGGGATCACTTTCTTTTGGCATATCAGAACTTATTAAGGCCCCAGCTAGTGGTTGGTTCAAACTTCTTACTCAAGAAGAAGGAGAATTTTACAATGTACCTGTGCCAGAAGAAGGGGTTGATTTGGCGGAACTTAGAAGTAAAATGCGAGTGAGTAAACTTACTTCAACTTAATTGTAACTTATGGTTAGAGTAGAATAATTAGAATGATGAAAGGAATTTGGTATATTCGATAGTCAATTTTTGAATATATATTTAATTACATGTGTATACGTATTTACAGAAAACATCGGTTACGAAAAAGACTCCAACGACGCAGGATAAAGATGTTCCGCACAATATGGGAAAGAGCGATTTAATAAGGGCATCGGATTTCAATTTCCTTATGGTTTTGGGCAAGGGTAGCTTTGGAAAGGTAAATTCATGTCGATAATGTAATTAAGTTAGTTTATAAGTCTGTTCTAATTTTTTCTAGTAAGAATAATACGAACGAACTTATAAATAAACTTGAATATTTGATGTATTACCTTGTACTATGAGAATGAATTACTATAAACAAAAATTAATTGTTTTGTTCTTTATTACAAAGGTGCTGTTAGCAGAAAGAAGAGGAACTAACGAGTTATATGCCATTAAGATACTCAAAAAAGATATTATTATTCAAGATGACGACGTTGAATGTACGATGGCTGAAAAACGAGTTCTTGCTCTTTCGAGCAAGCCTCCTTTTCTTGTACAATTACATTCTTGTTTTCAAACTATGGTAAGTTTTAGAATAACTTTTAATACAATTTTATTCGTAAGATCAATTAATTGTAAACAAAAAGAAAAAAGCTTTGTAAAATTGTTTATTAATTAAGTTTTTTTTATAAACAATGAATATGAGCGTATTTTTTTTGTTTTAATGTCAAGCTAAAATTGACATAATATTTGTTTCACATTCCGCACTGTTGCAAAATATATTTAGCATTTTGTTAAGACCTCCTTTCTTTGACCTATTTTTTTTTTTAATTAAATAAGTTGGTAGATAAAAAGAAAATTAAAGGGTACAAAGGATTAAGCTACATGTTAAATTAAATTAAATAGCTTTTTTTTTTTTTTCTTATAAATATTGAAAAACAAACGAGATTTACTCTAATACTTCTTGCCCGTAAATTTCAATTTCTATTTTGTTTGTTCTTATTAATTTTGAAAATTGTATAAATAAATGATTAATTTTAACGTTGTATATATTTTAAAGATTTTGAAGAATACGCTCGTATTTCTTGTTAATAAAAAATTTTGTTAATAAATTCAACAATATCACAATGCTTTGTACAAAATTGATTAAATACAGAATGTACTTTCTATACCCGTTTTATATATTATAACAAATTTATTATATAATTATATTTGTATTATGTTCGTACAATTTTCATAAAATGTAAACTGTTATCATTTCAGGATCGTCTATATTTTGTTATGGAATATGTAAATGGTGGTGATTTAATGTACCAGATTCAACAGTGTGGCAAATTTAAAGAACCCGTAGCAGTGTTAGTATATATCTTTGTATTAATCTAATTTACAAATCGATAATGTTAATAATATTAGAGATTACGTAGAATTATGTGTCGTAAACAAATCTTACAAACAATTTCTTTTTTAAATATTATCAAAAAGATTATATTTTTTAAATATTAAATACATTTTTATTATAGCACACGCTAATGATAAATAATACAATCATTTAACAATAAACACATTACAACCTATTTTTACAAAATATTGAAACTATAATTACGTTTAATAATTTAGTGTTAAAACATTTGACACTAAAAATTGCATTAAAAATTAATTCATGTTAATTCATGTTAATTGTTCTTAAGCTTTATAAAAAAAAAACTATTTACTTTTTTTTTTTACATTTTCAGATTTTACGCGTCAGAAATAGCCATCGGACTATTCTTTTTACATGGTCGCGGTATCGTCTATCGTGATTTAAAACTTGACAACGTTTTGCTTGATCAGGACGGTCATATTAAGATTGCTGATTTTGGAATGTGTAAAGAAGGAATATCGGGTGACAAAACAGCTAAAACATTTTGTGGTACACCAGATTACATAGCACCTGAGGTAAGTAAACTTTGTTATTTTTGCTATTGCTATTAATATAATACTTACTTTATATTTATATATTTATATTTATATTTTAGATAATCTTATATCAACCGTATGGAAAATCTGTAGATTGGTGGGCATATGGAGTACTTCTTTATGAAATGCTTGTTGGACAACCACCATTTGATGGTGAAGATGAAGAAGAACTCTTTGCAGCAATAACAAATCACAACGTCAGTTATCCCAAAAGTTTGTCCAAAGAAGCAAAAGAAGTCTGCAAAGCGGTAAGACACGGGAAATTTTTACACAACAAAATAATTAGTCCACGTGATGATCATTTTTTTTTACACAGTACTAATTAAAACGATTTTATTATTTTATAAATTACTAGAAAGTTCACTTACAAATAGGTGTTTGTTTATATATTCTAGATTCTCTGTATTGTAACTCATTTTGTTCATTAATACTTATGATCCTTACACACTTTCATACTAATTTTTTCTACAAGAATTACTACACACTATAGTCAATACCAGTTACTAACAGAGGTTCTACTTTATTTCCTTTTTTTGTTTTGTTTTATTTTCTATTCGGTCTATGATATTTGTCTTTATTGTTTCAGTTTCTTACGAAAAATCCGAGCAGAAGACTCGGCTGTGGTTTTAGAGGTGAAGAAGATGTCCGTAGTCATGTTTTCTTTAGGCACATTGATTGGGAAAAAATAGAAAATCGCGAAGTGCAACCACCTTTTAAACCAAAGATCGTAAGTTATATTTTAAATTAAACTAAGGGTGCCCCGCCACGCGTTGCTGTGGTTCACAATCAATCCGATACACACGTCTTTAAGTCAACGAATTACCTTATACCGTCGTTCTGTTACAATCTTATCGAACTAACAGACATTGCGATTATAAATTGAGATATAAACTATCCTATCTTTCAAGTTGGATAAAACTGCACACAGTGTGCAAAATTTGATTAAAATCGGTTCAGTAGTTTAGAAGTCCATTGTGGACAAACACAGTCGATAAAACAGTTTCAAACATTGTATGTAAATTTAAAAAAATAAGTATTTTTAATGTTAATCATTAATTAACATTGATTACATTCAAATTATAACTTTCTTTTAATTTCAGAAACATCCCAAAGATGTGAGCAATTTTGACAAACAATTTACATCGGAAAAAACGGACTTGACACCAACGGATAAACTCTTTATGATGAATCTGGATCAAACGGAGTTTATGGGTTTCTCATTTCTCAATCCAGAATTTGTGCAACATATTTAAGATAATATCTCTCTTATTAGCTTTACCTCATCGGTCTATTCTTTGTATATTATATTACCTACTAGTATTTTCTTTATTGTTTTTTCTTGTTTTCATAATTGACGTTATCCATTTTCACTCAGGGTTATTACTCTTTCCTAAGAATTTCCTCTACTCTCTAATTTTTTTTTCTCTTTTCATTTCTCTCTCTCTCTCTCTATCTATCTCTATCTATCTATCTATCTATCTATCTCATGCTCTCATTTTAGTAATTATATCTTTCATAATGACACATAGAGTAAAATACGAACGATACGTAAAATACTTTGTCATTTTTCATGTTGCATCAATCAACATAGACAAATCTTTCGATGTATTTTTTAATGAAATAATACGCCCCATGTGTAAGGGCGTAAAATGTATTATTATGATTATAAGATAATTAATAACGAGACGCCTGGTGCCGATCGTTTAAACGGGATTCGTAGGACGAATTCGAAATATTTCGATTTAGCGGAGAAAAATTGTATTTCATTGGCGATTGTATAAAAAAAAAAAAAAAACAAAGAGAAAAAAGAAAATGAAAGAAAAACAAAGAAAAACAAAGAAAAAGAAAAAAAGTGATCAATTTAAAACAAATAACTTCTCGAATAGGCCGATCGAGCGATGAAAAATAAATCATTCATTTTTAAACGATCGCTGCATTTGTTTCTCCGCATTATATTATTGCATTTACTTCAGTAGTTTCTACTGTCGCCTTCCAGAGTATATAATATATATATATATACATATATATATATATATATATATATATATATATANATATATATATATATATATATATATATATGTATATATATCAATTATGAAGTAAAATATATTATATATACGCGTATACACACATACACTTATACAAAATGATTAAGGATATATCTCGATACGTATAACAAAAGATAAAAAACAAAACAAAAGAAGAAAAAGAACAAAAAAAAAAAACCAACAATTTGTTCCATCAGTATTTTGTTTCGAAGTTGCACTTATTGTTCGTTTATTTCGCTGCTAATCAAGAAAAAAAAAAAAAGAAAAGAAAAAAACCAAAAAGAAGAAAGAAAATGAAAAAAAAAAGAAAAAATAGTTAACGGGTAGATAATTAAAAAAAAAAAAAACAAAAAAACAAAAAAAAACTTAGTAGAATTTTTCAATGTTGACAATGTGAACACAAATATTATTCTCGTCTTCTAAAAACAAGAACTGCTCCAACAATGTAGATCAAAGTCTCGGATTAGGAACCAGAGCTTGTATCCATTTTCTTTTATTCAAAACAAATTACGTAGGATTACAGTTATAGTTAATATATAAATAATATAGTCACGAGGGGAAAAAAATGTTAAAAACAAACAAACAAACAAATAAACAAATAATTTACGCCAATTGCTAAATAGTTTTAATTGACTGCTTTTGCTTGATAAAAAAAAGGCTCTTATACAAATGTTAGACAAATACTCTTTTATGATCATATACATATATATATGTATATATTGATCTATTAATTAGATTTAAACATTATTTATTCTGTTTTAACCCTTTGGGTACATTTGACGAGCGAGACACGTCATCTGCTTACTTGGGTGAAGGTTATTACGGTGGACGAGACTGACTCGTCATCTGAATTTAAGAAACTTATATATATATAAATATTTCTATTTTATTACATTTATAATATTTATTTATATTTAGTAATTGAAATGTTGTTGCAAACAAAAAATATATATATATATTTATATCATCAATATAAATATATTTCAAATCAAATGTGTATTACTTTTATATATTTTAATCCATATATAATTATAATAACAAATTCAATTCGTTATGCATACATAAAAATCTTCACAAATAATTCAGTACTCAAAGGGGTTAATTTATACAATAGATAAATTCAATCAAATAATGCTATTTCACAATTAGTTTAATATATTATCTTCAATGATTTGATTTCATTACATTTCTATATGTATTTCTACAAAAATGTTGTAGCTTATAAATGATAAACATATTTATATGTATATACGTATATATATATATATATATATATATATTGTCGCTATGTGAAAGAAGGATATGAGCTCCATTTTCGAGACAATCAACAGATAATATTGAAAGAATACGGCCAATATGTGCTTCCGTATTACAATTTTTTTTTATTTTTCGAGGGAAAAAACAAAATATAATAATAGATAACATTATTATGTTTCTTTCAACAATTGTGAGTGTTTTTCTAATAGAGTAGCATAAAAATACTCGAGAAGAAATATTAGTTATTATATCAGTGCTCTGTCGTTTTATTTGAAAACTAATCAATTAATCAGTTTCATTCTCTTAGATTCTTAAATATCAATTTAATCTTTAAGATATATTATGATTTAACTATTGTTAGTTGTGCTAAATATACTTATCATACAACATACATGTATAGGTATTGATGAACCTTTTAGATGAACACATATATTTGCAAATACAAACGTATATGTATATATATATACATGCGTGTCCCCGGTGTATGTGTGTGTGTATACATTTGTATATGCATATGTATGTATGTATGGTATGTGTATATGTATATATGCATACATACTGAAATATTTAGACCATTGAAGTCCTTTTAAGGCTGTGCTCGTTAAAATGCCGAATTTATTATTCCAATTGTTACTCGAGAAATCGTTAAGTATAATCGATTTTATCGAGAAAGAAAATCGTCGTCTATCAATACGATTTTCATCATTGTTCTTGCAAAATATCTCTTATCTCGAGTAATTAAATACTAAATGTTACTTTGAAAGTCAATATTTTCTCTTACCATAAGAGTAGCTTGTACTTTCTACGAAATCGTCGAATATGATAATTATTCTTTCATTATATCTCATTATATTCTGTCTTATTCATCTTATATAAGATTCTTCTTGCATCGTTTAATAATCGATGCATTTAGTCAAAGAAACTTCTTCTTCTTCTTCTTCTTCTTCTTCTTCGTGTGCAATCGTTGGAAACGACAAAATATCATCTTATGAGAAATCACGTTCCTTCTATCGATCAATTAACACAATTTCTTCGAAATTTTCTCATCGACATTTATTTCCTATGTGATGCGTACCTTATATCTCCATTTTAAATATAATATAGTATATATAACGTACCATATTACATACTCTTTACTTGTTTAACGACATGTGAAAAGAAATAATAAAATAAAACTTAATACATTATCCGATAAATTGTTTTATTTCATCTATTATTATTATTATTCATTGATATTAGGAACTCGGAAGTTTATTGCCTCAAATAACCAAATCCCGCCATTGTTCCCATCCCTGAGCGCAACCCTTCCATTCGCGGTCTTCGTAACCCATTTCTTTAAGATCCCCCCCCCTAATATTGTCCTCCCATTTACGTCTCGGTCAACCCAGTGGTCTTTTCCCATTTGGTATACCAACCAATATTTTTTGCGCCGTTCGATTCCCCCCCCCTCCTATGCGCGCCACGTGACCAGTCCATCTTAATCGGCTTAATTTTATGACGTTAATAATGGCTGGTTTGTTGTACAATCGATGTACTTTAACGTTATGGATTTTTTTCTCCATTCACCCGTTTCCTCATCGTGTCTTGCATCGAAAATTTAATGACAAATTAAATGCTTCCAACATTAAATTTATATTACAAATTGATGAAATGAACAGTTAAAAATTTTGTAATAGTAATTAACAACGTGCAAGATTATTTTATCTATAGTAATAAAAAACACACTTTTAATATAAACTTCTTGTTTTTATTCTAAACAAATTATTTAAATGTTTATAGTCTTAATGGCAAATTAAATGCTTCCAACATTAAATTTATATTACAAATTGATGAAATGAACAATTACAAATTTTGTAATAGTAATTAATAACGTGCAAGATTATTTTATCTATAGTAATAAAAAATACATTTTTAATATCGACTTGTTCTTTTTAATCTAAAAAGGATACCAATGTAAACGAAATCATTGTGCTTTATCATAGTTTATGAAACAATTCATAAATTTTAAAATATTGTGTATTCTAACAAATGATATTAATCGTCGGATGGATGTTAAAATAGATTTTGTTTTTTCAATTTTAATGTTTAATAATAAAAGAAATATAAAAGACAAATATTTGAGCTGTTCAGTGCACACATCGATTAACTCCATGAAACAAACAACTTGAGAAATGCGATGTATTATTTATTGTTATATTGTTGTATTATTTATTCTTCAATAATGATGTTAATTTTTATTATTTAGGAAAGTTATTATAAATATAAAAAGTTATGATTATACAAAGTGCTTTGATATTTAAATTGAAGATTTTTCAAAAAGTGGAGTTATCGATGTGTGCACTGAACGGCTTATTTAGCGCATACAATCTGTTTCTTTTTTTTTATCAAAGTATCAATATGATTAAAATATCATAAACATGTTTATAAAAAAATTACAAATTTAAATATCGATAAATTCTAACTGTTATACCAATTTACTATTGTTTATTATCTTTCTAAAAAAAAAATCAGCTACAACTGCGGACACTTAAAATAACACAATTAATAATTTACAATTAATAGAAATAAAATTTAACGTCTGATGTTATAAACAAATAAAATCTATTTATGATTGTAATAATTTCATTGTTTCACAATAATGATTAGGATTATTTTATATGAAACAAATGAAAAGCAAAGCTTAATATCGCGTAGCCTTTTTCTTATTAACCTAACAAAAGTGTCGATATGAAATGAATCAATGTACTTTATTAAAGCTTATTATACAACAGTTTACACTTAAAGATAACAAAACAAAAAAAAAACTCCTTTGTGCTCGTCGAGGATTTCATAATGTTGCGATGTTGTTTGTCGATAAATGGTATATCGAATTTTTCCAAAAAAATTATTTCTTCTTCAATAGCCAAAGCAAGTTTTTTTGTTTTAGTTTCTTTTGTCTTTTTATTTTTTCTTGTATTTCTTTCTGGGTTTTTTTTTGTTTCTGTTCTATTGTTTGATATAATATATAAATATATATATATA